AATCAATTTCTAAATATAAGACCTAGAGGTTCACATTTTTAAGTCCCCTGAGTGTCTCAAAGATACTGTCCTTTTTTGGGGGGTGGGGGGTACTGGGGATCGAACTCATGACCTTGTTGTGATTGCCAGGCAGGCCCTGAGTTAAACACTCAGCAATACTGCTCTTTGATAAGAGACAGAACACCAGAAGCCTCTAGATACGTTTTATTTTCTTTTGTTAGTGCTGTGGATTGATCCCAAGGCCTCACACATGCTAAACACATGCTCTACAACTGGTCCACACCTTTGATGTATTTTCTTCACGCTTCTGGCCAAAACACTTCATTCATATCCCAGGTGCTACAACAGAACAACCCTGACAAAGGAACAAACTTTTCCCTTACTATGCAATATGGCTTCACCTCCAGATTTACTAAGTGCATGTGCTGAGGCATCCAGGGCTGTTCTCAATTACAGATACTTAGTAAAATAACAATTTGAGTACATATTTAATTTAATGACAGAAACAGAAAAGATGTAAAACACTATTCTTTACTGAAAAGCAAACATTAATCTTTACCAAACCAAAAAAAATAAACTGCTCAGGTTTTAATACTATCATTGAAATTGAAGACTGCTCAAATATTCCTAAGCAAAGTACAATGATACAATTACAAAAGTCAGAATAACATTGCTATTTGAACATTTTTATGATAGTTTCCCAAAATGCAGTATTTACTTCAAGATTTACTCCAATGTAAGCTGTTTCCACAAATACTAATGATCTGTAGTATTCAAATATTTAAGCTGCTAAATCTACAATAACTGAAGCAATCAATATGCAAACAAACACAAGACAATTATAAAACATAATCACATAAAATTCTCACAGTGTCTGGATATATTAATATGTATCCAGAAGCTGTAAAATCTGATTGAAAATTTTAACTTAGTAAATACTACCTGGAAAAAGATCAAATATACACTGATAAAAATAAACCTAAAAATAGCAAGATACCATCAAAATGTGTATATCATTCAGGCAGTCAAAAGTGTGATAATCTAAAAGAATGAAAAACATAATTTATAATTACAAGAGCAATGATCAAAGCTTGATTTGCTAAAGACAATTAAGTTATTAAATAATGTCAAGTTAAAACTGCCTAGGTGCTGACTTATATTAAATCTTAAAAACATACATCCATGAACAGTAAGTCCCTGACTTATGAACTTTGAGTTGCGAACTTTCACAGATGCACTGTACAAGACTCATTTTATCCAATAAGAACAAACCCGACATACAAACATTTTCCCACAACAGAACTAATTCGTAAGCCGGGGACTTCCTGTATATCATAAAATCAAGCTGAAGACAAAGAAAAGTACGACCAGATTTGATAACTGTTTTCCCACATCCTTTGGGGCGCATTAAAAAACATTGTTACCCAGATAAAAAAAAAATGTATTTATTTTGAAGTTCTTAGGCCATACTCTTATATTCTACTGGAATACAGCTAATAAAAGATGAAAAAGAAACAAGAGATTATATGGAAAAACTAATCAAGAAACTATTACTTGTGCAAACTGAACACTTACCATTTCATTACTCACTTTAAACTGAACAGTGAATAAAAGAGAAAGCACATAAGAGGGCCTAATTTCAAACCTTTAAAACAAACAGACAAGATAACAATTTCTTTCAGTGCTGTCAAGGTAAAGACATACTAAGTGAACCCAACTGTATTCCTATTAATACCATGCTTTCCTGTAACACAAAATAGTAGACATATCTAAAGAGCTTTTCTTAGTACTTCTTTTAGTGCTTGCATAGCTTATATTAAAATGAATCACTATGAAGCTAGAACTAAATAAAACTGACACCAAAATGATAAAAGCCCTATTTCTTCACACAATTTCTAATCTCCACTGAAAAACTAAACTCAGAACAGGTATTTACCCCCAAATATTTAATTCCATTGTTATAAGAACTATCATAGCTCATACTACTTGAGATATGTTTACTCCTCCAAAATTTAGAGTACAGTAAATTTCATGCCAGGCTAACACAAATGATAATACAAAACAAAAAAGTATTCCATCCCAGGGTTCCAAAGACATTTTTCTCTAATGGCCTACAGAGCAAAGTTGCTTTGTGTCAAAAAAACCTTGTCATTTTTTATATTTTGGGTGGGGGCTGGGGGGTAGGTGGTTCAGAGGCTTAACATATGGCCAAGCTGGCATGGAATTCCTGGACTCAACCCTATCTTAGCTCCCCGTGTAGCTAGGATACTGGGCACACGATCACTGTGCTAAGCTTCTTCTATCATACCCTCCTAAAAAAGTTAAACAGCATCCTTATATTAGTAGTGAGGCACTGTGAAAATGGGCTATAATAAAAAGGTTATAAATTGGTGACTTAGGCTCTAATCAAATTAACTTCATTTATGTTTCAAGTATGCAAAAATATTTCTGCACCTCCTTGAAAATAATGTACATTAATATTTAAATTTATTATCTAATACTAAGAGCATAATCCTATATAAAAATACCCTATTTTAGAAATACGTAGAAACCAAGAGTATTACCAAATACGTAATTCTTCTAATCTCAACCCTAGATATCTGCAAAATATTACCAACAAAATTAATTTTAAATACAAATATTATTTTAAAATAAGAATTTGCAGTAATGCCATCTTAAAATCTAGCAATGTTTCTGGACACTAAAATTAAACCTCTCTGATATTAATTATACTTATACTAAATGGCAACAAACAAAACTGGTGTAGGGTTTTTAATTGTAAATTATTTCAAAGGTAAGAGTCGACAACTGAATTCATGATATATGCAACATAACTAAATTTAGCAGAACATGTTATATTTATATCTCAATCTAGTCCCCAAAAGTGATACAACATTATTAAATACCTACCTACAAATTGTAAAACTCACATCAAAATATTAGTTAACTCTTTTAGTACCAGCAAACCTTATTACCAAATAGTCCAATAATTACAAGGAGTACAATTTCCTAATCTTCAGTGGAAGACTATTCAAGAAACGTATCTATCACACATGGTTTACACAAACACAAGGAATTATTAGTGTGCTTAAAAGACTTTTTTTTTTTTTTTGGTACCAGGGATTGAAATCACGACCTCGCCCTTGCAAGGCAGGTGCTTATGCCACTGAACTAAATCTCGGGCCTTGTGGGCCTAAAATATTTTAATATTCCATTTTCTAGTATATTTTCATATTGGCAGATCCAATACAATTATGTACAAAAATAACCACCAAAAAATATAAAACTAAGGCATACAACAAAGGCTAAATTCCAAGGGGAAAAGAAGGAAGTGTAAAGTAATGCTAGGAATTACTCAACAAAATTTGTAATGTGTACAACTCTTAACTGACTAATGGAACTTAAAAATCTTATGACACATAAAACATGTTTTTTCTCTTTCATTCTTTCTTTTTTTTTTGGAGACAAGGTCTCACTATATAATCCAGGCTGGCCTTTAACTCATTATACACCCTAGACTGGCCTCAAATGCATGGAGATCCTCCTGTCTCAGACTTCCATGTGCTGGATTACAAGCATGCACTACTATGCCTGGAATAAAAAGGTTTTCCAACTAAATTTCTATGCAAAATAATTTTCACTCAAAAGATATATTGTTGACAGGAAGATAAATATTTCTTGTTATGTAAACTAGAAATCGTTTTATAATAGGTATTCCTTTCTTCACAAACTAAAGACTGAATCTAGGGCCTTTACACTGAACTTCATCCCCATCCCTTTATTAGGCAAGTCTCACTAAGTCACTAATTTGCCCAGCCTGATCTTGAATTTGTGATCCTTCTGCCTCAGTCTCACAGACTGCTTGAATTACAGGTATGCATCATCACACCCAGCTAAGTAAGTATTCTTTCGTTAACACAAAGGTTTTGAAATTGCCTAGGAAAAAGAAAATGGAGACAGAGAAAGTCAGACAAAATGGATTAATAATGTGAAATAGTATTTATAACCTTATAATATTGGTTATTTTTCAAGGTAAATATTCACTAATTATCGTTATTGTAAAATAGATAGTAGAAGAGCCGGGGATTTAGCTCAGTGGCATAAGCGCCTGCTAGGGAAGCATGAAGTCATGAGTTCGATCCGCTGTACTCCCTCCCCCCCCAAAAGAAGTCTTCCTTGCCCCAACATCATGCCTGCAAAAAAATTCTTGGTGAGATAAATTTTTTGAACTCCACTCCAACACGCAGAAAATTCAGAGATAAAGGACTGTATTAAACACTTCAAGGGTGTCAGCAAAATCCAGGATATGAGATACTGTACAACATAAACCTTCATTTCAAAAAAATTGGGAAAACTTTAAAAGGGAGTGGTAAACTATACACTAAAAATGGACACATAAAAAAAGAAATGAAAAAAATTTTTATAAGATTACACAGAGCTAGACTTTGGTAAAAGAACTAGTAATTTTTAATACAGGATAAAAGTATTTTAAAGAAAAGACTTCGTCTTTTAGAGATACATACTGAAAATACTTATAAACTGTACTGTTTGATATAAAGTATTTCAAATAAAATAGTTTTTCAGAAACAATATAGGTATAAAGGTAAGTCCTGTGCTTAAAACTGTTATGGGTAAAAGATGAGCATATGCTAGACACCATCTGTATACATCTGAAATCTTCCAAAACAAAGACTTTTTCAATCAGTATACAGTTGAAATCAGTTCAGAGAAAACATTTTCATCAATTTCCAATTTATAAACATTTTTTAAATAATCAGTTAAAACAGAAAAATACAAATCGATTTCATGAAACATGAATATTGCTTTAAGAAACTAATTTTAATGTACTACCTGTAAGAGTAAATAAAACAGTAGTTTAAATATGACACATTCAGAAAAGTCAGATAATACACTATCTTACAAACCAGTTTAAAAACTCCAAATACGGATCACCCACCTGACAATACAAAATCACTTTAATTAACTAGTAGTTTACTTACATTTTCCATATAGTTTGGTTTAAAGCCTTCTTGCTGTCGCCTCAATTCCTCCTGTTCTCTGTGTCTGATCATTTCTTCCTCACGACGGCGATGTTCCTCTTCATGTCTGGAAATATTTTTTTAAAACATTTCATTACTATAATATGTGAACCATAAAGTACTGTATTTCATGTAAAATAAAATAATCTATACACATTACAACTAGATAAATCTGAAAATGAATGTGGTATCCTAGATTAACTTTTCATTTTCTATTTTCTTTTAAGCCTCTAATAAATAAATAAAAGTAAACAGAAACCAAGGTAAAACAGGACAGTTATACGCTTCCATTTAAAAAATTAAGATTCAAAAAAGCTCTTGCACTATGAAAAGATTGAACACTTGTGATCTAGGACTACAGCAGTTTTTAAAAAGACACTCAAAACACATCCAGAAATAAGACACCTTAAAGAACCACACAGCAGCTGGACACAGTAGCACATGCTTCCAATCCCAGCATTTGGGTGGCTGAGGCAAGAATAGTGCAGAATTTGAGGACATCCTGGGCTCCGAAGTGAGTTCAAAACCAATCTGACCTACACAGCAAGATCCTCTCTCAAAAACCAAAAACAGAAACAAGAAAGAACCATATGACCTAGACACAAATTCTATTATGTGCAAAACAATGAAGTATTAAGGGCCCTTTTTTGCCCTGTGTACTCAATTCCCTGGTGCTACCTACCAAGAACTGCCTTTGGTAAATTACATTTTCTACCATAATAATTTACTATCACAAACTTCTCTAGGGCTGCAGTAGCTAAGACAAAGATCACATCACCTACATGGCCTAAAATATTGGCTGTCTTACCCTTTTTCAGAAAAAATTTGCCAGCTTATATCTAAAAGCAAGTAAATCTTTAACCAAAAATTCTGTATGTGCAGATTATAATGGCATATAATAATAATTATTCAAAAACAATATTGAATAGACATGCACAATGTATCGGCATTAAACCAATTAAATTCAAATATATCTGCCTTATACATACTCATAAACCATAATAGTAACTGAAATAGTAAAATCTATATAGAACAGGTATGTTCAAGCTACACTTACAAACACATTTCTACATTTGCAATTCAGAATACTCCAATTTCAAGATAATGTCATGTCCTTTGTTCCACAACACCACGGTTCAACAAAAGACTTCTTTTTTTTTTTTTTTTTTTTTGGTCTTTTTCCTTTTTATCGGTACCAGGGATCGAACTCACGACTGCCTGCTTGCAAGGCAGGCACTTATGCCGTTAAGCTAAATCCCCAGCCCCCAACAAGACTTCTAATTAAAAGGGTGGTTTATTACACTAATAAGATAATGCTATTTCTGAATTTCAAGCAAACTGGATCACTTAAGATTATTATCTAATATTAATCCTTAGAAATATTCCTGTAACTGTATTCATCTATTTTCCATATACTAACACATACATAAATTTTACTATTAACAGAATACAGCCAGCTGAATATGTTAGCACATGCCTACAATTCCAGCACTCTGGACGCTGGGACAGAATAATTGCTGAAAATCTAAGTCTTCTCTGAGCTACACAGTGAATTCAAGGCCAGCCAGAACGACACAGGAAGGCCTTGCCCCAAAAAACTAAAATACTCCAAGGTCAATATGCTTTAAAATTTAGATTTTTATTCGAATTTGCCAACAAACAAACAAATGAAGAGGGAAAATGTTAGCATCTATGTTCCCAGTGTTTTACACATAAGCGTTCCATAAGTGCCCACATAAAGATTTCTAAAATAAGTAACTAAGTTAAACATCCACATAATTTGAAAAATGTTTTACATGAATACAACATGACTTCAAGTAAAGCTTCACCATTAAATGCACTGATACATTAAAATACACTGAAAATCTGATGATACATACTTTAAAAATCTTTGCATCCAAATCTTGTCTTCAAATTTACAGACAGAATATGAACTTCTGGGGGGCCTACATCTAACACACAATATAAAATGCGCAAACTCATTACCGGTGAACAAAACAGAATTATCTTGTACAACAGCGCAACGCTATATATACACACAGGTGCAGTGAGGTACAGACATAAATAAATATGGTGGTACTATGTATAAATACAAAGGCTGACATCATGTCAGCATAAATGGGTAACAATTAAAGATCGCTGGAACCAAGGAACTGATCTGTTACAAAGAATAAGGTCTGCACTGGCAAGAAAGAATGTCTACAATACTACAATACTATTGTCAAGAAAAAAGTTACCGAAGAACAAGACCTCTACCACTACTTTAACAATCATATGTATCAGTCATGGTGGACCATCTATAGTCCTAGTTATGCTGGGGGCAAGAGAGTCACTTTACATTCACAAACTTTGCCTGGCTGAGAGGAGAGTGTGCTCCTCAGAAATAAAAGCTACCTCTGTCTGCCATTCAGTAAAAATTCTATATGGTATGCGGTACCTCAATAAGGGTTTATCAGATGGCTTCCTAGGGATAGGACTATGTGTTTTGAGAGGGAGAACCCCCTTCTCAGGCCCTGTCAGAAGCACATCCTGGAACCAACACAGCCTGCTCCTGATGTTCGCTGTCTGGGACAAGCCTATCAGGTCTCCCCAACACAAAGGTGTGGTAACCCTTCTTTCACATTATTTTCTTTGTCTGTTTGTTTGCTAGTGGCAGGAGGACCACTGTGAATCGGGACAGTCTGGAACAAAATATATTCAAGGCCAGCTTCATCTGTACAGTGAAACCTTGTCTCAAAAAGATAAACTAAATCAGATTTTGAGACAGAAGCCTCAAGGGACAGAAATCTGGGATCAGAACACCAGTTGCAAGTCAGTACTGAAACTCACTAGGACATGAGGACCCTGGATGGGCAGCAGTTGGCTGAAACTGAACATGGAGACATTCATGAACTCTGTGCTCATTAAGAGCAAGTGTGTTCTGACTGCTTGTGGTGGCTCCAATGTTCTTCCCAAAACTCACTGCCACAAGAGTAGAAAGAGTGGGTAACTTTGAGAAGTGATGGGGCAATATTACGTTAATTATTCAATTTATTCATTTTGGGACCTTTTGTATATATAATATTATGCACTAACTTACTTCTAATCTAATTCTATTTTGTTCGGAGAATATACTCTGTAAGAGCATCTTTTTACAGTTATCCAGGTTACCTTTACGGTTCAACATAAGGTTGGACTTGGTGAATATTTCATGTGCTCTTGAACATAACTTGTATTTCATGGTAGAATGTTAATGGGATTACATAAGCTGATGCTGTGTTTTAAATGTTCTCTTTATTGGTTAATGTGTGTGTGTGTGTGTGTGTGTGTGTGTGTGTGTGTGTGTAGCTGGTCATTTAATGAGTGGTGTAATGACCCAATCACGCTTATGGTTCTTATCTGTTGTTCGGTTTAGTTCCATTATTTTTTGCTGCATGTACTTTGAAACTCCACCTTTAGGCACACAAACATTTGTGTTTGCTATATATTGTGGCATACTAATCATTATCAAGAGTACTTCATATCAGCTAGATTCCTTACCTTGAAGTCTTATTTTATTTTATAATAACAAAGCACTTTAACTTTCATGTAACTGATGTTTGCACAATACTATATTAACATCTTTCAATTTGAGTTTTATAAATTTCAAGTCTATAATTTGTTTGAAGCCATTTGGTTTCAGATCTCCTATGTCTTTATAACAGCTTTTAAGAACATACAGGATCAAGACACTAAATTATGATGCCTGCTAGATACAGCTCCATTGCTAGACTTGTTCAGCAGTACATATGCTCACAATCTGTTGAAGGACCCAAAGCATAGAAGAGTTCTCAGTAACATCTGAAGGACTTCACAATGGTGATAGGCAAATACGTAATGAAGTGAGAAAAGGAATGAAGAAAATGCTAAAGGTAGAACTATGTCAAGTAGTCTCTTATCATGGTCTTCTTACTATAATGTCGCAGCCTGTGAAGAATTTAGTGATCCATAAAGACTTTATTTTTTTTGTACCTGGGATCGAACTCATGACCTCACGCTTGCCAGGCAGGCGCTTATGCCGCTGAACTAAATCCCTGGGCAAAAGACTAAGTATTTATAGCACTGAAAGTAAAACCAAAAAGTTAGGAACTCCAAACAAATTCTTTTAACTTCCCTCAAAATATACTTTTGGTTAATGTTTGGTCTATCTTCTATTAAAACAAAAAGTCCACATTATTTGGTCTAAAAACCAAAGCTGCCTCAGCTCAATGGATCTCTTTGACTTAACTGCTACAATATTTTTCATTTGACTATCTTGAACATATAGATTTGAAATTGGGCATGGACTAGGGGAACATGCCTTTAATGCCAGCACTTTGGGAGGTTGAGACAAGAGGATGGAAAATTCAAGCAAGGCCTGAGCAATTTAATGATACTCTCTCTCAAAACAAAAAAATATAAAACAGCTGCCAATGTGCTATAAAGGCCCTGGGTTCAATCCCAGTTACCTAAAAACAAAAATAAAAAGGTTTGATGGGTATCATAAAACAAGTTGTTAGGCCGAATTTGTTTTTCTTTTTCTTTACATGTAAAACTACTCAATTATAAGATAGTGTGTCACATTTCTTACCAGCCTTATAATTCATTTCATAAGCAGTTTTCTGGTAAGATTATAACAAATTTACCACAGTCCACATTTGCTACTAGACAAACATAAAGGTTATCCAACAAATTATATCATTACTGTTGAGGTTTTGTTTAGAAGAGGTCTCACTATGTACTTTAGGCTGGTCTTAAACTATGTAGCCCAGTCTGGCCTTAGAGTGCAGGGATTACCCCAGTGAACTAAAACACCTGGCTGAGATACCTTTATTAGTAGAATCTCATGCCCTTGCTTATTTTACATAATGAAAAAATGTACAATGAATGAATATTCATCATATCAAGCAACCAGTATTCCAGTCTATGACTATAATATTAGAGTACAGTGGTACCTTGGTTCACAAATTTAATTATTCTCACAATTGTGGTTGCAACCAATCTGCAAGCAGAGTTTATATTACAAATTTCCTTAGGTACTCCATACTATTCCTGTGCATCTCTTTTTAA